CTCCTTTCTTCAATTGTATCGTATTTTAAATATAGAAACAAATTAATTAAAAACTTGTCGTTTGTATACAGAATAGGTGCAGTAAACAAAAAAAAACGTGAACATAGACATTTTTAAAATTTTATTTTTGCTCGTAGCGGTTGGCGGGTGGCGGCGGCGTCTGATAGATACGAGAACTAATATAGTAATATGTACAATAGACGGTGCGTTACACGTAAGCCCATAATACGTTAATCCTTGTACTAACCCCGGTTTGGACAGAGTGTCTAAATTAATTTGGGATTTTACATTTTAGACTGTTTTGTGCCACGTCCCCGCCACGGCCGGGTGTCCTCCCTTCCGTCACCGATAAATCCATAATTAATGGCATGGCGTATATTTAGGGTCACACGCGGCCACGATATCCAACATATGCATACACATACACGCGAGCTGTACGCAGGAGATCGAATCGAACAAAATGTGTATATGACAGTTGGCCAGTAACAGTCGGGGCTGCTTTGCAACAACAACGAAAAAAAAAAAATAATAATATATAAATAAAAGTGTATAATTTCACGCACGATAAAGGTTTCGATTATTATACGCCCGACTTGCGTACAATGCTTGCGTATATATTTTATGGAAAAAAAAATTCGCCGTAACGTAGAATATAACACAATAGTATAGCTGCAGTTATAACATATAGGCCCTCCTCCTCGTAGTGTAGAAAGTGAATTCGTTTTTTTTTTTTTTGATACGGTCCGGCCCATCGTGCAGTGTACGTTCATTTATTAATGAACGGTCTGTTCCGCCAAAACACAATATTATATTATAATACCGTTTAATACACGGTATTCAAAGGAAAAAAACGTAATTTATCGAACTAACGCCTTTTAGCAGAGCGGACAAAAATATTAAAATATTTGGCACGTCTGCTGTTGTCCGTGTGTATATTGTAATATTGTGTACACTTATCACTTAAATTATATGCACGTGTGCAATAGTGTGCATGTGCACCCGATGCATTTTAATGCTACACAGCGTAAGACCTAATAGGGCGTAAACATAAAATCACATAATACATATAGCACACATATATTTTATATTTTATACTTACATGGCGACTGCAGTACCTATATACATGTTCGGTATACACACGCGAGTCGAAAATCGTCGAACACTGCGTATGAACATTGCATATTTCTAAAAAATAAATTCATATATTATATATTTTTATTCTTCATACGGGCCGGGCGCACGCAACGTCAATAACTCTCTGTTCAAACACAATCCCCTGAAAAGATTACTGCTAACTATGTTGACAAATTGCATGCATTGCAGACCGAACAAATAACACTAAATGTATATTATATATAGGTTAGAGAGAGAAAGATGCAATGAGAGGGAGGGGAAGAGAGAGAAAGAGAGAGAAAGAGAATAAACAATGTGTATATATCGTTACTCTAGCCAAGTTACGTCATATATTTTGTACATTGATTTATTTTTTATTTAGATTCGTACGAGTTCAAATGAATAAATAAATACACTAGATATATCTAAACGGCAATATAAAAATTATTTATTTTGAATTTTTTCAATGTTTGCCTTTTTATTGTTCGGTTTCAAATTGCGATTGTATAGATTATTATTAAGCTACTATACAGTGACTGCAAATTACCATTCATCTTACAAACTATAAAGTATTTAGTACTATAATAGTAGTAAGTGGGTACATTATATAGTAATGATGAATTTCATATATCTATAATCAAGGACATAAATGTGCAACTAAGCTGACACTGATGTGTATGCTGAGACAATCTGTATCGTCAAATAATTTACTTATATACAAATATGAAAGCCGGTTACGTTGAAATATTACTGTACAATGAATATTTTTGTACTGTGTACCAATGGTTCAAAAATTGTAAACATAGTTTTAAGCCTGAAGACTGAATTAATAATGTATATATTATTAGTTACCTACATGATATTATACTTTATCATGATCAACTGGCTTTAACACGAAACCCATAAAAATAAACTAAAACGACAATTTTAAAATATATTACTTTTTAATTTCTAAATAAAACATCGTTTAGGTAATAATATTATATAATTATAGTTTACCCACCGAATTGGATTGAGTTAATGTACTTTTACGACTTTATATGTAAATTTCATTGCATTAAATGTATAATATTATAATGTCTATACATTAAAACGCTTTAATCGAGTATACCGGTGGTGGGTATAATATGTAATTCAGTATAATAAAATTGTAATGAGTGTGTCAAAAACAGAAAATAATTATTCAAACTGAAAACCAATACGACGTAGGTACCCACAAACCCATCGTGACGACGTACAATATTATCGTGTGATGGTTATACGGCGACAAGAACGAAGGTAATAAGTTAGATTAAAACACTTTTTGTGGCGGTTATTATTATTATTATGTTTTTTTTAATGTTAAAGTTGTCAAAAAATATCCGACGACCGCTGCGCATTCGGTCCGACGACGGTATAATCAATTATACCGTCGTCAATGCTACGACGTGCGGTCGCCCACCACTCTTATAGTCTCTACTCTCTAGGTATGTGTATAATATAATATAATATAATATATTATTAGTCGTATAGTAAGTATAGAGTCTCTTGATAACAAGAGATATATGATACTCAACGATATTTTCAATATTCGTGATGGAAAACAACAACTAAATTTAATTAATTAAACATTATAATATATGAATCTAGGAAAAAAATCCTCAGAATAAAAATCTATACCTAAGCTATACCTAACTGCTGGACACAGCTAATAAACAAATATAAAATTTGAATGATAATTATTATACTATTATAGTATTGATAAATTGGTACATATTATAATATTATATGATATTGCAATATAAATATTTATTTATAAACGGGTAGGTAGTAGGTACCCTTTAGAAATAAATAATAATAATTAATAATATAGCAATAGTACCTAAGTAGAATCTCAATTTGGAAAATATAACTGTGAAATTAAATAATATACCTATAAAGTTTTAAATTATTAAATGGTTTTTAACTAAAGTATTAATATGTAATATACTACAATTTTATTATTATAATTTATAAGTAATAAAATTATCCATCCGAACAAAAGTCGACCGATAGGAAGGCCTAGGCAACGATGAGAGGACCGAGTCGAGGAAGACCTCCGAATGTTAGGAGTTATGAACTGAGAAGAACTGCAGGTAGAGCATAGATAAGCATGGAGGGAGATAGTGGTTAGTGGAAGCGGCAATGGGCTTAAATGACCTAGAATAAGCCTAAAAAATAAAAATATAAATAAATAAATAAAATTATCTAGACGAAAAAATATAATAACACTAAAATTATATATATTTAGGGGAGGTAATTTTGACGACTCCTAGTAAAAAATTTGTTTAGTTTTTACTGTAAAATTAAAGTATCAGTTGGATACTTTTAATAGTCATACATATTTAATGTTTATTTATTATAATATAATTTTGATGTTTGATCGGAAACAATAGAGCTATACTCGTATACGAAATCGATCTATTCATGAAAAGTTGTCCCTTTCATGAAGTGGAAATGGTTAATAATAAACTGTGTATAGAGGGCATTAATATAATATATAAATATTTAAGTCATTTCAAATATAAAAAATGCTTGTTTAAAAAAACGAAAAATTGTACGCTTAGCAAATCACGTCAGTTCAAAAATTGAAGTGAATTTATCTCTCAAAAAATGTAATGGTAAGATTATTATCTAGGTATATCATAGGCTCTTCGTTAAATATTTTAAAGCCAGTTATGAGTAGGTATCTATTTTAAGATGTACAATTATATTAGGTATATTTGCTTTGGGGATTTTTTTTCCGGTTACCCTAATATAATATATCATAATGTGATTATCGTTTGTGAAGCTATTCCCTGCAGCTTATTACATACATGCATACATATATACTTACATATATCTATATATATATTACTTTACATATATACTTAAATGCATACCAAAGATGTACATTATAGTATATGCTACATAAATATAGACTGTGGTATAAAAGTGTAACTAAATGTTATACGTATATGGTATATAGGAGTTCCATTATATACAATATAATATAATATTGTTTTAATTCAAAACAAACCCGCGACCGGCCGAAAGCTTTGATGATAATAATAATAATGCGTTTTGGATGGCTACAGCGTGTGGCCGACATTTCAGTACAACTTTATCGAAAGTATACGCGTGGCTTATATATTAAAATAATACGAATTATTTTATTTATGTATAGCTGGACGACGTGGCACACATACACACACACAATGCCATTATTTTGCCATACAATTTCCACAGTCTACGCAAATATATTATTATTTTATATCATGTTAGTCGTATCTCGAGTCGTAATGTTTTTTTTTTATTTTTTATACAGACGTACATTTCTAGATAATACATATCCTATAGAATAATGTATAATAGCTGTATTATATAACTGTATAATTCGTATATGCGACACCGGCTCCAAGGCAATATACGAATTTCAAATAAGTTTATTATATAGATGTAAAAAATGCAAATTACACAGTTTGGTCATGTCAAATTTAAACTATATTTTTATTGTAAAATCTAGCCTAAGGTTATCCTACGACTATAGTTGTGTTTCCGTGCTATTACTTTAACAAGTTACCGTGCACAATAAAAAAAATGTACAACCGCAATGTGCTGTGGTGTTGGTGTTACACCATCTCATATCAGTGGTTGACTTGGGAAAAAAGTAGTAGAGGTACTCTAGTTACTTTTAAAAAAGTAGCGTACCTACCATTTTAACTCATATGAACATGGTAGTGGGGGGTCAACCCACGCTCTCTTTATGATCCCTCAAGAAGCATAATAAAAGATTAAGAAACACGGATCAATGAATTATAACGTACAAAATAATATCATAATTTATTAGGTGTAACTTAAGGTAATTTTTACTAAAAATATACAAAATGTCAAACTTTATCTTCATTTAAAATTTTCCATAGTTGAGAATAATTATTATCACTGTTTTTTATTTGTCTTTTTGGACAGCATACCTCATTTGCATCTCTTTTTCCATTGAGGATCCATGACTTAACGTAGTTGGCTGGATTAAAAGCTATTACTGGGGGACCAACACATTGTATGAAAAGGAGTGAAGAGATGTGTTGTGTAGTTAATTGGTTTCTTTTAGATGTAACAGTGTTATTCATAGAACTGAAAGTCCTTTCACATTCCGATGATGAAATTGCAATTGTTTTGATTGCTACTAATAATGGTTTTAAAGGTGATATTTCTGAAATAACTTTAGTGTCTTTATATTCTCGAAAACCTTGTATAGTAGATGTTTCATCGACTTGAAATATAGCTGTCAGCCTTCTAACATTTTTATCTCCAAATTGAATATCACAATTATCGGGCCATGATTTTGGTTCAAGAAACTCCATGTCTTTGAGAAGATCTTCATATTTGTTCTTGAAAGTATTGCCAGAAGTTGCGGTGTTTGATGCCTGAAATGTAAAAAGTCTAGAGTGCATGTTATTTGCAAGGCTTCTAAAAAACTGTCCAGAGTTTATTTTTGGTATCTTAACATAATTTATCAATGGAACATTTTTAAAAATTAAATTTGCACATGCGAGACTAGTTTCTTCAGCTCTTGGTCCAGGTTGATCGGCCATTGAATTAAGTACACGAATTGTACGCTCAATGCAAGTATTGGCATGCCAAAGAGATATACTTCTAAATTAAATTGAAACACTTATATTTCATGTTGTCAAACAGTATCCAATTTTATTTTAACCTACCTGTTTAGAAAAGTACGAATGTAAAGTTTTTCGTTTCTTTTTACCCGGTTCGAACTTTTCCATATTAACATTTAACAAATATTAATTACAGATAATACAAATATTCTTATATAAAAAATAAAAACTGAAATATTGTAAGTTGTAACAAATACAAAAATACTATGACAATATTGACTTGACAATTAATACAAACAGTATGTATTTCGCAAATACTTGGTAGTAAAAGTAATGGTAGTTGATAACTGATAACTGGATGTTTACTGATATCACTGCCGTTAGTTTGATATTATTTCCCTCGTTTTTAATAATTTGTTATCATTATAACCTACGTACTTATCAATTATTACATATTAGAAATATCTAATATCAATCCAATTATAATATTTAGGTATAAATTGATAAATTTTAAATGCAATTTGTAAATATTAGAAAATGTTGTAATATTTAACACACTAATTTAAATTGAGCAATTTTAAGATATTAGGTAAGCTTAAGTAACAACCCGTCCCTTGCGTTCCCATTTAAAAAAAAAAGTAGGGGTACGCTAGCGTATCCTAAAAATTAGTTGAGGTACTCAGTCCCCCCGCGTCCCCCCCCAAGTCAACCACTGTCTCATATTATTATTTCGCAGTATACCGAAAACGCGAGACATATAAAATATTATATCTTACGATAAATCAAATGTTTACAAAATCGTGTGTATACTCCTTTGGCGTATATTAAAATTTTTTCTAATATACCAAAGTTTCCGTCAAGAATGAACAAAATTATATTATCTAACCTCCTGTACTGGCTTGTGCCCGGAAAATTGATAAGTCCACACGGGTATTATATAGTCCGGTATATTACAATAATATGTAATACTGTCTACTGAAATGACGCCACTGCACACACACCACTCATACATTTATTTTTAATGACTCTCCGCCGCTGTGCTAATGTGTTTTTCGTGTCCACGTTTGTATGTTAAAGGCGCGAGGCTCCCGTAACGATATCGTGTACTCGTATAAGTATATATATAAACAATGCACACTCTCACACACCCATATATATATATGTGTATTGAGCACGTCGGTCGAGTCGGGTCGAGTGTGTATTTATGTATATTATGTAATAAATACGATTTTAATAACGGCCTAGCTGGTGGGCTGTATACGAGTGGTAAAATGGTATACAGAGTGAGTGTCGACGATGCAGTTGAATGATGCACTACTGTATACTGTATATCTGACAAACCACGAGTGTTATATGTACCGTGAGCAACACTACCGTATTATACACCACACTAAAATATTATATACGCTTTGTCAAAGCGGCTTTGAAACCCGACAGTAATCTGAACACGGAAAATCAAAAATATAACTTTTGAAATGTTTGCATAAATTGATGATATTATTATCAGCTAATACCGTCTCGAACGTTTCGCAATAGTGAAACAGACGTGTTTGACAAACGTTCGAATTTCCCAGCAGCCCGTAGGTAAGTACGCGATTCCGTACAAACCGAAAAACACACACTCATCGAAATAAACTGTAACGATCAGAGGTAGGAGGACTATTGATTATTATCTGTGGTAACCGTCTTTGCGGGCAATGTTATTCGTTTCGGAAAAAGTTTCATTGACAATAGTCGCGTATTGTGTCTCACTCTGTACACAATACGAGTGCGGCTTACATACACAATCCGCACGACCGTCTGCCTTATTTATCGGTTCGTTCGACGCCGACCACCCCGACGCAAAATAAGGGTATATAACCCATAAGAATCTATGTACGGTCACCCGTCGTGGGTTGGCGTCCCGCCGAACGCATATAACACGATCATATCGTATTAATGTTTAATATTAAATTATTGTTAGGTATATATATATACCTATAGCGTTTGAATGGGTCGGAGTGGATATGGTATAAGTTTTGTGGCGAGAAAAAGGAGTAGCTCAAAAAAATATCTCAGCCCTTCTGTGGCAATAGTATGATCATTGTTCGCCGCAGTGGCGAAACGAACCTAAAATAACCCACAAATAACCTAAAATTGTCTATAGACCTATATAGAAACGGTTCTATAATAGCCCTCCGTGCAAATTCTCGTAACACCTCACAAATAAAATTATGTTAACAAATCTATATTGTGCACACGTGTACATTTTTCCAACAAGAGTGGGGCCACTGCAGAATTATTCACGTCCATGAACTTATCACGCTATCGTCAAAATTGCATCGATATTATATTTTACGAATAGTTTGTCAGAATTTACCGGCTCGTCAGAAACCTGATATTTTTATAGTCATCTCTCCTCCGTCCAAAAATGTGTTATTTATATCGACTCTCGATACTCGAATTGCCCAAAGTAGTTCTGTGGTGAGGGGAAATAACTCCCATACATCCTGGAGACAATTTACCACTTTAACGAGATTATTCTTCCCCACCATACATGGATTTCACGAAATGTGACAATAATATACTTTCGGATGATATTCGTTCGAGTTCAGTGTTTTTGTTCAGTCACGACTTTGGTTACCGCGGTTACGAAATAAAATAACACCGTCGATTTAATATGAAAAACAAATTTAAAAAAAAAAACATATTTTTCCGCTATATACTTTCGGCAAACAGATAAGTATAATAATAATATACATTGAATTCACCGTTTTGGGAGTGCAATTATTTTGAACATTATAATATTATACGTTGAAATTTATTAGGCGATGCTATAATAATATAATAATAGTTTAACATCAATAATTTATCATCGGTCGTAGTTCGTCGTAGACTCATAAATCAGATACAATTTTAGATATCTACCTATGTATAGGAACCATTATTATATAGAATGCGATCGTAAATCGTACAGCGAGGTCCTTATACTTGTTTGTTACAGTATAATATTATTATACATTTATAATGTTTGTATATACTAGTTGGTATTCATCCTATTCATTGCTTCCGGTTACAAACAGCGCGTGAGTTGTAATTGACGATTTACGTTCCCCGGTCTTGTATTATTTTTTTTCCTCGGCAATGTACTTTATATTATTATTTAAATTTGTGCTTCACTTTGAAATGCAAACACTTTTCTTTTGATTGTGAAATGATATATTTTTCTTTTCACCTTGTAAACATACAACCCATAGGTGTACTATTCCTTGTAAACAATCTTATATTCACCACCTAGTTCTACCATACCGAAATGCTCGAGGGGTATAATATAAAATACTAGCTACATCAAAAGACCAACAATTTTCAAGATTTTGCACTTAGGTACGTCGAAGAAAAAAAACAAATATCATCTAACATTACAGGGTATAAATAACGACTGGGATACAATAATATCTGGTTTCTTTTTATAGCAGTTATTTTTCTTGTTTTTCTTCCTTAACCCTCTACAGCAGTGATGACCATTGGAAGAGAATAGATATTTACATATTATTATATATTATTGTGTATATATAAATATTGATCATATATTATAAATGGTTACATTAGCAGTTAATTTAAAACAAACAGTTAAAAGATATTATCGTTTGTTGGGTAAATTGGCGGTAACGATATTTTCCTTAATTTTTCTTTTGTTTTTCAAGGCGCTTTTGAAAACTACTGTGAAATTTTTACTTTTGACCCCCCCAAAGTACCAACTAGATTCACTTTTCTATCAGAAAAGATACTGTTGAAGAAATTCTAAGCATTTTACTGTCCTAAAGGTGATGACTGATAAGTCAGTGATAACAGACACAAACAAAAAAAAAATAAACATAATTGTAAAATCAATACATTCATCGTTTCACTCAGAATCTAAAAAACCGTTTAATTAATAGAAAAAAATGCTTACAACATTATATTTTTAAGGCGTGTTTAATGATGTTTATTCAGCTCATATTATATATTTATATCAGTAAATAATGAATTATGATTAAAAATTGAAAGTGAATCAATATCGATAAGATTATTGTGTTAAAAATATTTCACATAAAAATTGGTGAATACTCGTGTTTTGTATTTTTGACAGTGCATAATATATTATACACATTGTCAACGTGTCAAAAAATATTGCCAACTTTTCCTTTCTATTATTATTCGACACCTGACTTTTTTTCTAAAAGTTTTTGTTTTAAAACATGTCAATTCAGAAAATAAAATCTTTCTTCTCTTATTGTTTGGAATCCTGTACGATTATTGAAAACAAAAAAACTTACCGAATAAAATGCGTTACATCAAAGCATTAGTCGCACATCATATTTATGTACCTAATATATATTTTCTAGTGTCACTATTGTTGTTTTATACTTACACACGTATACTCATATTGTGTTATTAAGTTATCCAAAATTCATTTTTCATTCCAAGCGAAGTGAGGGCGATTGCGTTGTTTCAACACAATAATGGTTTTTTCTTTATTTATTTTATTTATAAACTTTTATTTTAGTATAAAGCTTATGGCTCTAGCATTTACAGTCATCAAAGCTCAATCTAATAGAAAAAATGTCAAAATAAACTATATTAGTAGGTATATTGATTATGATGTGTTTGATTTCACGTCCAAGCTTTCCTGTTGAAAAGCTTTTGTAAACATACTCCAAAACGTAGGTACCTACCTAATGTGCATACAATTTAATTTGATTTAAAACATTAATATGCGATGCAGCAATAGCCTGCAGATTTATTATTAATGAAAAGCCCGTGCAGATACATAAAGTATTGTTTTAAATGTGTGAAACCGACACCTGTGACCTATGAAATCGAAAAGTATTCACTTGGTACCCAAACTTATTATACACATATAATATATAGTATATATATTTTATTTATATAGTAATTAAATAAATGTGTAGATGCTTTAGTGGACAAATTATTATTTTTTATTTATTTATTGATTCCCA